TTTTGGCGGGAAAACTGCACACTGAATAAAATTTTTGGCGGGAAAATTGCTCACTGGGTCATTTTCAAAGAACGACCGTTAGACGGGAATTGTTCATTTCGTTTTATGCAAAATTTGCGATGATTTATGCTAGTGAGCGCAAAAGATAGGTGTAAACCATTTATGCAATCCTGTCGATAAGTTATCATTTGGCCACAATAGTCGAAAATATGACATCTGATGAATTTATGAAGGAAATCAAAGAGTGATACTTTCGCATTTTTCCTTTTCCATAGAAACTGGGCGAAAAAAGTTCTGAATTCCTACAAAATCCTCACACAATTTTTTCTGTCCATCCTCAAAATATAGCTAACTTGCGTAGAGACAATACACAATACAGATGGTTAAAATCAAAACAGTGAATCCATATTTCCGCGCTGTGTGGATTTGAAAGCACCGAGATCCTGTCTTGATGATATCCTGGTCTGTGAAGTGATTCCCCAGGCTGGTCCATCCGGGGCTGATCCCGATGCTATTGGTCGTTTAAATCCCTGAAAAAGCTGATTCAGTAAGCACATTTCGAATCCAGATAACAAAAATTAACGATAACTGTACAAAAAAAACCACGTAAAATTCCACCTCTATCTTTCAGTTATCTCAAAAAAATAAAAATAAAACATATTTTCCGCCAAAAATAAAAAAAATACCTTCATGCTTCGATTCGCTGCTTTGGCATTAAACGAAAGCCATTTCTTTTTTTCGTCCTCTTTTGCCTCTTCCAACTCCTTTTTTCGATTTTCCTTCTTCTGAGCTCGTAATCGTCGCCTTTCACGTTCTATCTATAACTGATTACATTAATACTGACCCGTAGTTATTCATAATTTAATTCCATTACTTCCATTAAGTGGTACCTAAGCAATGCTACACGAAATACAGACAGTACGGTGGGAAAGATTCAACTGAGCTTCTCCACACATTTATGGGATTGAAAGAGATACAAAACTAAGGATGCTGGAAGTCCTGTAGCGGCATCAGTGGCCAGAAAAAGCGGCGATTAAACAACTCAAAACAAAAAAAAAA